AAATAAATAAATAAATAAATAAATAATTAAAATGACCAATACTTATATATAAATATATTTACAATGTATAATCTATGTACTATTCCATATTTATATGTGTACCTAAGTAGCATGAGCTTTAAAGATATATGGGACTTGGGTATAGGTACAGTCTTAGCGTGTGTGGGCTGCCATAACAAAATACCACAGACTGAGTGGTTTAAACAACAGAAATTGATTTTTCTTTTTTTGAGACAGAGTCTCGCTCTTGTTGCCCAGGCTGGAGTGCAGTGATGTGATCTCGGCTCACTGCAACCTCCGTCTCCCAGATTCAAGTGATTCTTCTGCCTCAGCCTCCTAAGTAGCTGTGATTACAGGCGCCTGCCACCACCCACTCCTGGATAATTTTTGTACTTTTTTTTTTTTTTTTTTTTAGATGGGGTCTCTCTCTGTTGCCAGGCTGGAGTGCAGTGGCACAATCTCAGCTCACTGCAACCTCCACCTCCCGGGTTCAAGCGACTCCCCTGTCTCAACCTCTCAAGTAGCTGAAACTACAGGCACGCACCACCACACCTGGCTAATTTTTTGTATTTTAGTAGAGATGGGGTTTCACCATATTAAACAGGATGGTCCCGGTCTCCTGACCTCGTGATCTGCCCACTTGAGCCTCTCAAAGTGCTGGGATTACAGGCATAAGCCACCACGCCTCGCCTCTTTAATGTTTGTACTTTTAGTAGAGACGAGGTTTTGCCGTGTTGGTCAGGCTGAGAAATTAATTTCTAACAGTTCTGGAGATTGGGAAGTACAAGATCAAGGTGCCGGCCCATTCAGTTCCTCGTGCGGGCCCTCCATCTGATTTCCTATGTCTTCACATGGCTCTTCCTCAGTTTGTATGCATACAAGTAAGAGATAGAACAAAGTCTCTTATGTCTCTCTTATAATGACCCTAACTCTGTCAGAGCAGGGCCCCATCCTTGTTACCTCATCTAATCCTAAATACCTTCCACAGACCCCATCTCCAAAGACCATCACACTGGGGGCTAGGGATTCAACATCTGAGTTTTGGGGTAACATACACATTTACTCTATAACAAGTAGTACTATCTTCAATAATATTTACAAATATCAAATTTTCCCTTTTCTCAAACTTAGGGGAAAAAGCCATCCATCCACTCATTCATTAGCTGGTTTTAATGATGTTTGAGCACCTACTGTGTACCAGACCTGTGACCTTTCAGAGATTGAAAACCTCAAGGCTCACAGAGTTTCTGAAACCCAGATTAAACATCCCCTTACCACTTTTCTTACTGGCTTTCATTATTACCATTATTTTTTCATGCTCGGTTATTAAATAAATTTCCCAAGGTGTTTTAAATATTTTTTTCCTTAGATCTCTACCTTTCCTTTTAATGTGGCTCAGCAAATGGAAAATGACAACTGCTATGTGCACTCCAGGCCTCCCAGTGTGACTTCTCAGCATCTCTGCTTTTGCAATTAGTTTTCACCTCCTCAAAGGAGAGGGCCTCTCTGCCCATAGGTGCTGTATTTGGCTGTTAGGTGATTAATAATTAATTGCTTAGATTTATAATTTTTTTCTCACTAAATCTAGTAGGCATCCAGAAATTATGTAAATCCAACTCCTTCACTTTATAAATGAGGACACTAAGGCCTTAATGAAGAAATTGAGGCCGTAAAATGCTTTGCCCAAGGTTAGGACCAGGCACTTAATGTTTTTGTTTTTTTTTTTTGAGACACAGTTTCGCTCTTGTTGCCCAGGCTGGAGTTCAATGGCGCAACCCCGGCTCACGGCAACTTCCGCCTCCTGGATTCAAGTGATTCTCCTGCCTCAGCCTCCCAAGTACCTGGTATTACAGACATGTGCCACCACGCCTAGTTTATTTTGTATTTTTAGTAGAGACGGGGTGTCTCCATGTTGGTCAGACTGGTCTCGAACTCCCGACTTCAGGTGATCCGCCCACCTCGGCTTCCCAAAGTGCTGGGATTACAGGTGTGAGCCACTGCGCTCGGCCCAGGCACTTAATCTTAAAACATGATCATAGTCTTTGTTAAAAGGTGAATAAGAATAGATGTATTTCGCATCTCTCTACTTATTTTCATGTTTGTATGTATATTAGTGTGATTGGAGGTTTTTGTTTAAAGATTGTGTTTAATTGCCAACTAAACACTAAGAGAGAGTCAGAATCTTTAAAAACACCTGGAGGTTTCATCTGTTATTTTGTATGTAAAAATTTTAAGGAGGCCAGGCGTAGTGGCTCACTCTTGTAATCCCGGCACTTTGGGAGGCCGAGGTGGGCGGTTCACCTGAGGTTGGAGTTCGCAACCAGCCTGATTAACTTGGAGAAAACCCGTCTCTACTAAAAATACAAAATTAGCCGGGCATGGTGGCGCATGCCTGTAATCCCAGCTACTCAGAAAGCTGAGGCAGGAAAATCACTTGAATCTGTGAGGCGGAGGTCGCACTGAACCGAGATCATGCCATTGCACTCCAACCTGGAAAACAAGAGCAAAACTCTGTCTCAAAAAAATATTATAAGACAAGGAACATAGTATTTACTAAGTAAGAGCTTCCCAAGCATGAATCACTTTTACATAAAGTGTCTCAAGTAAACTTCACAATAATCTTGAAAAGCAACCTATCCTCAGTCCTCTTGCCACCTTAAGCAGAAAGGCAATTTGATGCCTACAAAAGCACTGAAAGGTCTAAATGAACTGGCTTTAGACAAGACCTCCAGGAATGGCTCCCAGTTTACTACCACAGAACTAGCCTGCCCAGGGACCTGCTCTTTCTAGTACAGGTGGAACAGTAGGCATCCAGAAAGTTCCATGCCTACTGCAGACTCATAGATTTGAGGTCAAAGCCATGTAAGTGGGACATGACTCCACCACCAGCACTGTTGGCCCAGAGTGGTGCCACAGCTGCTAGATCCTTCCAGCAAAAGCTGATGCCCTCAGTGCCCTTCAGGCCGCTGCATATTTCCGCATTTGATTCAGTTTCAAAGTCAGTTCTCATAGTACATATTTCTTCGGTTGATCTAAGTCACATCAAGGGCTTTAGCTGCAAAGGAGTCTGATGAATACAGGTTTTAGGTTTTCAAGCCTCCGTAGAAAAGGAAGTCATATTAGAAGTTGTAACAAATACCAAGTAGGCCTATACCCATTTTTAGAATTATAAATTTAACTATTTTGACAGGTTAAATAACTTACCTAAAGTCACATAGCATTTAATAAAAGGGGGAGGTTCAAAATAAGATCTCCTGGCCCTAATGCTGTCTGTGCCTATATCCTAAACAGCTTGTTCTTATCTCTGACATAAAATTATATTAGGTTAGCTGTATACTCACTCATCAGCTTTAATTGAGACAAGCTTGTCCAACCCGCAGGCTGTGAGCAGTACGCAGCCTAGGATGGCTTTGAATGCAGCCCAGCACAAATTAGTAAACTTTCTTAAAACGTGTATGAGATATTTTTTTTTTTTTTTTT